CATGACGTCGACTGCGGAGGAGCACATTTGATGATATCTGAGGAAGTGCGTTCCAAGATTAGGTTTCCACCTGCGAGCGATAAGGTGGTGTGGTGTAAGTTGGAGAGTACATTGTGTGAGATACTTAAACATGATTTAAACAAGAAGTCGTTAGGCGACAAGCTTACAAAATTCGGTGATGTAATATATGAACACTGCTCCCGTGAGTTCGGGACAGTAGAAAAGGCACATCCGGGTGCCAAGCAGAATACTAGCAGGAGGCAGGGGGACATTCTGAAGTGTCGGGCAGACAAGAATGCCCTCAGAAAACGGTTCAAAGCCGCTACAGGCAGCCAACGGGAGGGGCTGTATGAAGTTTGGTTGCATTTAAAGAACAAACACAGTGCCCTTTGTCGCGCTGAGCGTTTCTGTAATAACAGAAGACGAACCAAAAGGGAGCGAGAGAAATTCTTTAGGGACCCGTATCAGTTTGCCCGAGGTCTATTCGACAACCGAAGTCTGGGACTCTGGTTGTCAGTAAGGAAGAGCTTGAGTTACATCTACGCAAGATGTACTCTGACAAAAAGAGGAGAGAGCCTCTCGATGACAATCCAGAGATCCTTAGCGGCCTCCAACAGCCTGAGTTGCCGAAGGTACCATTTAAAATGATACCTCCCCTTTGGTCTGAGGTTGAGGAAGTTGTGAAAAGGGCCAGCGGCAAATCTGACCCAGGTCCGAATGGTGTTCCGTACGTTCTTTACAAGCGTTGCCCGAAAATCCTAAAAATGCTTCACGTCTTGTTGAGACAAGCGTGGATCCGTAAACACATATGTCCAGAGTGGCAAAAAGCGAATGGGGTCTACATTCCCAAAGAGCAGGACTCGAAGAGTCTTTCCCAATTCAGGCCCATCTCGCTGTTGAATGTCGAGGGTAAGATATTCTTCTCGGTCATGGCTCGCCGGCTCACACAGGATCTGATGGCTAACAAGTACATCGATACGAGTGTTCAGACGGGCGTTCCTGGGTGCCTTGAACACGCGACCATGATTTGGGATGCTATTCAGAGAGCCAAGCATGAGAGAACCCAATTGCACGTGATATGGTTGGACTTAGCCAACGCCTACGGGGCAGTTCCGCAAAGGCTACTGTGGCGAGCCCTTCGCATGTTTCATGTACCGGCACAGGTCAATGATATGATCGAGCGATATTTCTCTAAGTTCGCTTTGCGCTTCTTTACCTCGACGTTTACCACGAGATAGACTGAGCTACAAATTGGGATAGCTATGGGCTGTACGATCTCACCAATACTGTTTGTCATGGCCATGCAGATCATGTTAGACGGGACAGCCGGCTACGGACAGGGCCTTCAAATAGGGGATCACTGGATGCCTCCATTGCGTGCCTTCATGGATGACACGACTATTATAACGGGCAGCGAGGAGTCTGCCCGCACGATCCTGGAAAGATTGGACGCGGTGGTCCAATGGAGCGGTATGCAGTTCAAACCGCAGAAGTCGAGGAGTCTGTCAATCCTTAAGGGTCGAGTGGCGGCAACCAGTTTTACGGTGGCAAGGAATAAGATCCCCACGGTTCTGGAGGAACCGGTAAAGAGCCTTGGTCGCGTTTACGATTCGAAGTTTTCTGATAGAGCGGAGGTCCGGCGAATACACGAGTGACTGGCTACAGGCCTGCTCGCGATCGAGCGTTGAGGCTGATCGAGAAATTCAAGGTATGGTGTCTCCAATTCATGTTGATTCCGAAGCTCCTATGGCCACTGTTAGTCTGCGAGGTGACGATGACTGCAGTGGAAACCATGGAGAGGAAAATCAACACAGCCTTGAGAAAGTGGATTGGTGCACAGCCTTGTCTGACCGACGTGGCTCTGTATTGCAAGCAGGCTAAGCTGATACTCCCGTTCAAATCAATAACCGAAGAGTTCAAAGTTGGCAAAGTAAGACTCGCCATGCTCTTGCGTGAGTCTTCAGACGCAAATGTCATCGCTGTCCAGCCCGCTCTCAAGACTGGTCAGAAGTGGAGGGTCCTCAATGCGATTGAATCTGCGCAGAATGCACTAAAATTGAAGGAGATAATGGGATACACTCAAACCGACCGTCGAGGCCTAGGGCATGGGAAGGTCAATTGGTGGTCAAAGGCCTCAGCCAAAGAACGCCGAGACATGGTAATACAAACGGTGAGGGACAACGAAAACGAGGTTCGGGTCCAGAAAGCAGCCCAGCAGTCGCAGCAGGGCCATTGGGTCAGCCTGGAGAGCGCATTGCCAAGAGTACTCACATGGGGTGAGATCTGGCTAATGACCCCGCTGCGACTGAGCTTTATCGTTCGTTCGGCGTACGATGTATTACCGTCCGGTGTTAATATGGTTGAGTGGTCTGCGACTAACGATCCGACCTGCCCGCTGTGTAAAGCGAAGCGAACGCTAGAAGACGTCCAGTCTGCGTGCAGGAAAGCCCTAGGCCAAGGCCGATATACCTGGTGACACAACAAGGTGCTAAAAAAGTTAGCAGCCGTTGTTGACCAGGCTAGAATGGAGGCTAACGCTAGAGCCAGTTCTACCATCGTCCCCATTCGTTTCCTCAAGGCTGGGCAGATTCAAAAAGGTAAGGTCAACCGAGACGCATTCACTCCATCTGTGCTAGACTCTGCGAGGGACTGGTTACTGGCGGTTGATCTGCCGAGCCATGAAAGGTACCTTGAGTTAATCCGGAAGACCGGCCTGCGACCTGACATAGTTCTCCACTGGGCGGAGAAACGGCAGCTCATCCTGATTGAGCTGACCGTCCCGTATGAGTCGCGTTTGGACGAAAGTCACACGTTTAAGCTCAAGAAATACGGTGATTTAGCAGCCGGTCTGGGGAGAAACGAAGCGTACACAGTACGTGTCTTTGCCGTCGAAGTGGGAGCGAGAGGTCTCGTCTCCACTTCCCTCTACAATGTGGTTAAAGAACTAGGATTGCGCGGTAATGAACGGAAACGAACAATCAAACGGCTGGTCGAGGTAGCCGAGAGGGCCTCGAGCTGGCTTTGGACGCAACGAAACAACGTAGGGGACGGGCCTCGGTGAGCTGGTCCGGGTTTCTAGCGGAAAAGGGTTTCTCACCCCTTGAAAGTCCATCGTGTCCGAATAGTCTGCCAGTGATCCTCTGCCACCTGCTAACAAAAGTAAAACATGTGTCCGGTATACCAATCGCAAGCTTGTCGCTCGGTCGTCCAGGTATGCTGACTGTTCTAATTAGGCTACCGCGATGACTTCTTATCTCACAGTACCTTCTGCAAATCACCAAGTCGTCTTGTCCCTATCCGAAAGAAAACACAATCCGGTAATTTCGTGCAGCAGGGTACCAGCCCCGAGCTTCATGAACTCACGTGGACCCACCTCTGAAAACGTCTAGGAGATCGTGGGCCGAAACGTTTGTCGACGAGGATAACTTCTACTGATGACTGGTAGATCCCTGCTGTACTTGCTCCCTGTGAGTTTATTCCTATTGAAAGAGCTGAACTCGCTTCTGGCGGTTTCATGTTTGCTTCATGACCAGAGCTGAGAGAACTGACCCTAACAAAAGTCACGAGTTGGGATGCAACATGGCATTCGACGTTTAAGCTTCAGACAGGCGACAGAGACGTCTTTAGTTGGACAGATGTTGTACATTATGGTTTTAGAATAATACTTTTTTGACCGCATACATTGTGTTAAGTGTTATGGTAGGATAGCTTCTCTGTGTTGTGTAGCGTCTAACAGCGACAGATGTTGTGTTGTTCCTTAATATGTAAGTCGTGTTGGTATATTCTGATCAGTAGAATCGGGTGTTGATATGGTTTGTGTGATGATTGCTAGCTTTGGCACACTGGCCCTGCACTCGACAGGTGCGCCGGGATCCTGGTGAGGTCCAGTGACAAGGAAGAGAGCGTATCTTGCAAAGTTGTGGTTTGCGATCCTGGGATTTGCCCGAGAGAACGCACTGGCGTGTGCAGTGAATGTAAAGCTTGCACGGTCAGTGTTCCGGGTAACAGGTGGTATACACAGCGGGAAGCCAACTGTCCTATTGTTAATCTTTGAACTGATGTATGACAAGCTGGATGTTGTGATGGCCCTTTGGGAGCGAGTGAACAGTGCCTAGGAACAGACAGATCATTACGGTCTCAGGAAAATGACACTTCAAGGAGTTACAAGGGGATTTGGCCGACGCTACAATTTGACAGTTACTAGTATCATGGGAATTTTAACTCTTTGCTTGCTGCTAAAGATGGGGACGGAGCGCTTATGGGAGGTGTCTTGAGTGCTGTGAAGTCGATTCTTAACATTCAACATTGCTCCTTTTACTTTTAATCTTAATTTTCAAGTGGTCACCATATGTTCCAGTTTCTTTCTTCTTATAATGTGACCCCTCAAGAAATGTCTTCCGGCTCTCGTCTATTTTACAACATATGGATTGCTTGTTTTTGGCTATAGAAGAAATGTTAAGAATTCTTTTGTAAAACCACATTTCCGAGGCCTCGAGAAATTGTTTGGCTTCTTCATTAATTGTCCAGGATTCACAGCGGTATGGCAAAACTGGCTCTACACATCATGCAAGATTTCCTTTCTTTTTTCCCTTCTAACATCCGGTGGCATAGATTTATTATATAAAATGTTCTTTATTTTATAAAGAAGTTTTAACCCGTTTTATTTTGTTCTTTACCTATGTGTTAGTCTTACGTTATCTATGGGACTATATACTTAAATTTCTATACTTGTTCTAAAATAACGTCTTTGACCATCACTAAGGCACTGTTCTTCTCTTTGATATTACCCTTACTTCTATCTTCTCATTATTCAAGCGTAGGCCTATTTTGTCAATTTATGCCACTTCTTTATATGTCAATCCATGTAGTTCTTTCAGACTTTTCGTTCTTAAAACGGTGTCATCGACAAAACGTAGCTTGTTTGGCATATCCATGATCGATATCACTATCTACTCAAAGTATAATAAAAGCAAATGAGGTGATAGTACACATATACTCACTGAATAAAGAAGAATACGACGGTTGAGAACTCGTGTCAACTGTTAACTCCCTGTCCGTATCAGCTTCTGTAGGTTCTTCAGGAGGAAAGGAAAGCATACAAGAGTTAAGGTCTATGCAAAGACTACATCAATCATATAAAGAATAAAAAATACACGAACCATTGGAATGATTTATTGACCACAGAATAAGCGTGATGAGGTAAATAAAATTTAAAAAAAAAGATAATAAATAATTAAACTATTAAAATTCTTTATTCACATCAGATTGAACGAGTTATGGGTGAAGATAAACAGCATCAGGTGAGGTAATACCCCTTTTTTGTACAGTCGTGTGGAAGTGGAAGTGTTAGATCCTGACACATTTAACTTCACAGTATGATTCTTCTTCTTCTCATTCAGCGTTCCGAGCCCTTGAGGTTCATTGCTGGAGATTTCACCAGCTTTCCCTTATCTCTCTGGTTGGTCTCTTTACAGTTGGTGACACCAAGTGCTTGCAGGTATGTTTAGACGTTATTTCTCCATCATCTTCTTGGTTTGTCTAGTTGTCTACGACCACTCAGTCCCATTGTGTATACAGTTTTTTCCCCTATTTCATTTGACATTCTCTCAATATGCCAAAGCCATTTCAGTCTATTAGATCTCATGATGCCAGTGATCAATGGTGATTAAAACAGATAATGAATTTTGTTGTTGCTTCTCCCTCTCCATTCCGTGTTGTTTGCATCTTTGATGGGTCCAAAGATTTGTTGTAATACTCTGTTCTAGAGAATTTGTAATGGGGCTCCATCTCTTCTAGTTGTGCTCCATGTTTGAGAGCCATATAAAACAATTGGTCTTATCAACGTTTTATAAATTTTACGGCAGGATAATCAGTTCAATGACCTACAAGTTTTTTCCCCTCTCAGGTGATTTGACTTCCTCGCGTTCACTAGCTGTAAACCTTGAGGAAAAATTCTGGTCTTTGGTCTTGTTTCAGAACTTGACTTGTGCGTGTATCTCCGTTTTACAGATTCGGCTTATCTGTATGACGATTATTCCCTCCTGGTCTCACGGGTAAATGTATTCCAACTCTGAAGAAAATACTAATAAATAGTTGTCTTTTACTCAATGCTTGTTGGGGGGCAATGGGTCAATGCTCTCACCCCCCCCCCCTCCCCCCCCCCCCCCCCCCCCCCCCCCCCCCCCCCCCCCACTTTTCCAGTCAAAAATTAGGCCCCACAACCAATACGTGGATGGCAAAAGAAAATTTTGAAAATTCGTTTTCTTCTCTCTTTTTTTCTTTTTTCTTAACACTATGTTGAATTCACGACGGACACGCCCATAGCTGTTTAACTTCAACCTCATGAGATAGTTCCTCTTCGTCTTCTGTGTCTCCCCCTATAAAAGATGGCTATTACGTTTTGTTGTGTTTAAGGCTAGGCTATGATATCTGCGCATTTCAGCCAACATCCGGTTCGAACACACACATATATATATATACAAATATAATGTAAACGTCGTTATTATCAGTGAAAACTGCATTTAAAAAATCAAATTAAGATGTCACGTAAACAATAAAATTCTTGCTCTCGACCTCAAAAACACGTCGGCTTCTAAACCGCTATCTAAGGTCATCGCCAAGTGGAGGAGGAATGAAAAAAAAATAACTTATGAGTAATTGGGGGGGGGGGGGGGTGAGATACACACGCACACACATTATGACTAGTTTTAGACAAGAACAGAAGAACAATTTGTATTTGGCACTGACCTTGGACGAGTGTACGGTATTGTGGTGAGAGCTCCACTGATTTCTTGCTCCACCAGGCTGTGGACAGAGATGGACATTTATCGTAGAAAGTTATATTATGTAAGTTTTAGTATAAATTAGTCGGCTCTGTGGCTAAGTCGCTGCGAACGCTTCGTAATGCCGGGGTGCCGGGTGCGATCCCAGCTGCGGGCCACGCGCCTTGCGTTGGTTTCTGCAGTGGTATCAGGGGGCCGACCGTTCAGGACAATGGCAAACTACTGGGCGTAAATTTGCCTCGAGGAACCACATAACAGCCAGGGGCTGCTGGGGTTAGTTCTGCAACGTCCTGTAAATGATACGCAACTAACCAATATAAATTATTATAATGTTTCTTACTTTATTGTCATTTCAACTGTAGAATCTCTGTTGAAATCATGTATTATAATACACTCGTAAAATTTAATAATTTGTTGAAATATACGTTATAGCAAATATTGTAATTTGCCTTGCAATAGCTGTTGTGTCGGCGTCTATAGCTTAGTTGCGAACTGGCTGCGCAATTCCTGGGTGCGGGTTCGATCCCAGCTAAAAGCGATTCAACAAAAGACCACCTTGCGTTGATTTCGACTGTGGTATCTAGAGCTGATAGTTCAGACGCAGTGAATAGACATGGGGATAGACATGACTACCAACGTCGCACGGCATTTTATGGACTTAAAAAAGGTTAATAGGGATAGATTTTGCAGCCTAGATACAAACCACAACACAACGTGCCCCCTATGATTTTATTAGCGAAGACATGCGAAGAAGAAGAAATAATAGCTGTAATATACACACACACACACACACACAAAACAGGTAAATCGTAATTTGTAATAATTTATATTGGTATATCATTTGTGGTGGCAGGAGAAAGTTGGGCAAAAATAGGAAGTCATGAACACATTTTAAAAACCATTAAAAACTTTAGCTTATGAAACCTCCAATTTGTCGACTCCTACGACACGGTTGTTGGAGAGATGTTGTGAAATAGGTGGCGATATCACACTGCAGCGTATACAATTCCACAAACAACAAAGCGTCTATGATTTGTGATTATTTGTGACATTCGTTTTGGCCTAACACTAGCTAAATCTACTAAAAACAGCAGCAAAAATCTAACACACAAAAAAATCACTTGATTTGAGGCCGGATAGAGCAATTAGTCTTATTTAGAATGGACGAACACATAACGACAATGAATAATTGGTGATGCAAGATGAACGATCTCTCTGTCGCTCTCATTCAACTAATGGACACTCACTGAGCAGTCATACCAGCAACACATCAATCAGTCTATTGTTGATACATTGGCATAAAGTGCGAAAGTTCTCAGACTCCACAACTCAAAGATGTTCGCCCCTGAACACACAAGTAAGACTTAAGTTTGCTCTGCCAGCATTCTGCGCCTGTACAGTGTCCGAACAGCTTCCAGTCTCCCAGCTTGAAAACTGTAACTTACGAGGTTCGCACCGGAACACAAGTATGACTCGCCAATGCTCTACCAGCATACTATATCGGCACAAATTCTGAACAGTTCTCCCCAGTCTCCATAACTGGATAGAACAATATGAAACCCTGGCATTCTGTGTTCAGATGGTTGCTCTTCCCGTCCGACCTCACCAGATGTATTTTTCGTGATGGTGTGACCTTTCTCCAACGGTTCTCTATTCAACAGTTACCGCCAACCGGAAGCCTAAGTTAGTCGCATCAAACTGGTTAGTAAATCATGAACATTGTCTGATACCTTGTCACTCCTGGAAGTATCTCCTGACACCTCCCCATCAACACCACACACTGGTCAACACACAGTTACCACAGCAACCTCTGAAGCATGAGACATAAATGCACCAGTGTTGACCCTCACTTCACATGTGCCAACTCTTATACCGTCCTCTGACTATTACCTACACTGAGAATATTCTTCTTCTTCTTCTTTCGTTCGCCTGAAATAAGTTGTCTATATCAGCAGTTTTGTCTCTTGTATAAACTTCACTGTCGTTGTTAGTTCATTCAGTGGTCCATATAGTTTACGTTCCACTGTTGTTCTTTCTGGCCAAAAGGTTTGCCTTAATGTGTCAAAATTGGTGCAGTCCTGGAGTACATGCTCTGCTGTCTGGGGCACATGGCTGATACACCTATCTTGAATTTTGTGTACATGTGGTTACGTAATCGGTTGTGCCTTGTTCTAAGACGGAGGATAATGACTTGTTCTGGTCTGTCCATAATAAAATAGTCATCTTGTGCTGGGGCTGGTTGTTGGTTTCCTGATCGATTTAATGATTCTTTTCTTTTGGTGGTATGTGACGGGTACATCCGGCTGATCTTTTGTCGCACCTTCCCCTGCCAATTGATCAGCTTTCTCATTTCCAGGCACTCCACAATGAGACGGTATCCACTGCATTACGACTCTTCGCGGAAGGCTGAGTTGTGTCAGCAGTGTTTGCAATTCTGGTAGTTTCCTAGACTGGAGTGCTTCAAGTACTGATTTAGCATCTGTCAGCATTACCACATACTGTGAGCCAAGGTTGGTATTTAGCAGTTTCTCTGTAGCTATCTTGATAGCCTCGGTTTCTGCATCATAGTTATGGCAGTACTTTCCGGTTGGTACTCTGGACTTATCCCTAGTACCATCTGGGAATTCGATGTACACTCCAGCGCCACCATTTCTAACTGCACTTTCTGCGGACCCATCTGTATAGACGCTGACCCATTGTTCTTGTGGGTATTCTTCATCAATATAACTGAGGGTGGCCATTCTGCGTTGTACACTATCTTGCTCTTTCTTGTCAAATATCCCTTTCACATTTGTCTGGATTTGTACCGTTAGTTTACATTTTTCTCTCCATGGGGTTTGTTCCGGAATACTTTTAAGTGGGCAACCAATTTCTGGAAGGTCAGGAGTTTGTCTACATATTCTTTTTGCTTGGTGTATAAAGCTGCTTCTTTTTAACCGTCCCAAGGCTAGGTTCTTAAATCTATTTTCCATCGGGTGATCTGGCATACTGAGGAACTTTTCAGCTTGTATTTGCAACTTTGTATCTCTGCGTTCTCTCAGTGCCTGTGTTTTCCCAGCTTTCTCAATTTCTAATATGGGGGTTGATTTCATCTCTCCTGTGATGACTCTGAGCGCTTGATTTTGCACTTTGTCTAACTCCTTTTAAGAAGAGAATATTTAAAACTCTAATTGCCAGTTCACAAAGTTAAGCTAGACGGTCCAGGCGCTCCAATAGAATATAACAGATGACTAAAATTTCACACAACACATGCAGGCCTCCGAACTCTTTCACTGACTAAAAGTACTTAAATTCGTTTACCAGTGGAACTTTTATGTGGTTCTAGACATAGCCGTGGGATCCTTGAATTTCAGACAACACACGTTCCGTACCTTTCCAGTGACTCAAGTATTTGTACACTTCGGTCACTCATTTCATAAATTGTAATGTACACTTTCACACCTGCCTAACCCCTGGCATAAATACATTCTATTAGCCCAGTTAGCACACAGCTGGAGACAGTGGGCCTGTTTTTGTTTCCCCAACAATTAGACCCTAAAAACCACAAGGGAAAGCTAATATGCAACTTTCTGTTTGTGCTTCCCTTCTAGCCTGAAGATCTGATCACTAATGGAGTTTCAAGAGTTGAACTTCAAATCTCCTTGACAAATCTCATAGATATACCACCGCTGAGTAAAGTAGTTTTGAGTGGGTACAGTGTAGAAGTCCTGGGAAGCAAAGGCAGTTGGCATAATGCTGAGCACATTTTGTATATGAATATAGGTTTAGCCCTATATGTCTTAAGACGTGAAAAATTGTACTTTACAAAGTATCGGACCCTTTTTACGTCCCTGGGATTGAGGTTAGTTGCGTATCCTTTACAGGACGTTGCAGAACCAACCCCAACAGCTCCTGGCTGTTGTGTGGTTTTTCTAGGCAAGTTTACCTCCAGTAGTTTGCCATTGCTGTCTGGACGGTCGGCTTTCTTGATACCACTGTCGAAACCAACGCAAGGCGCATGGCCCGCAGTTGGGATCGAACCCAGCATCCCGGCATTACGAAGCGTACGCATCGACTTAGCCACAAAGCCGACACGCCACTAGGGAGTAGGGTAAATAATCCAAGCCTCTTGATGGATCAATAGGACTTCAATGGGTTATGTGGTCAACATAAGACCGGTTGCCTTTCCTTTCCAGGACCATATCTAGTACTAAGTTAGCTCAGGTCAAGCCAAGAACATTTTTTTAAGAAAAAAAAAAAGTTTTTAAAATAGCCAAGACTATGGTTAAGCACCAGCAAGGAGATCAAAATTAGAATTGTGAGAGCATGCATCTTCCCTGTGGCTACATACGGATGTGAGTCGTGGAATATCTCTCAGTCCTTAAGAAAGAGAGTAGGGGCTCTTGGGCTAAAATGCTATAGAAAGATTCTCAGAATATCTTGGACAAAGAGGATGACAAATATTGACATCCCAAAAGATCTGAACATCAAGGAAGATTGGCTAATAAACAGCATTCTTTCTCGAAAACTGAAATATTTTGGTCATATCAAGCGCTACGACGGATTATAGCAGAAGGCATGGTACCAGGAAAGAGGGGCAGGGGCCGACCGACACAAAGATGGGCACAGGATATAAGTGACTCCTTGAGTATGAAAGTGCATGAGGCGGGAGAACTGGCGAGTTTCTTTCAGACAGACTGTGATGAGATCGACGTTCTGCGAAGAACCTGCTACATGATGATGATACGGTTTTTAGTTCAAGATCTAAAGGCAAGCGTATAGCCCAAGCGATGGCAACCTGTTATGGTCAACTCACCACTTTGGAATTATAAAGCGTGTTAAGGGCCATAAAGAAAGGTTACTGCACTTTTCTATTATATGCATTTGCTGACTAGAGAAAAAGAACGGTCGCATCTTTTATTTTATTAACAAATTCCGCCTGTCTCATAATTTCTGAGTTTATCCGCAACATGTTTTCACCAGTAGTATCACAGACTTGGCGGCATCAGTTTCCGGTTAACACTGTTTAATCATTTTTTTTTT